TAAAGGAGCCTGTTAACATGTAGTCTAAAACTCAAAAGAAACTCTGAACAGCTGAAATGCCTTATAAATAGCGCAGACCCAGAGGAAGTGCAAACGTCTGCATTGTGAATTGTAGATCTTAATTACCGACAATGGCTGGTACAGCAAGTAGCAGGGAAAAAAAAAGTGAAACAGTTGCACTGTTCATGGTTGGCAATAATTCTTCAGGAAAATATTTACTATCAATCAGTTATGAGAAAAGGGACTCTGTGCTCGTAAAACAGCACGTTGCTTCTCATACCAGGACCATTTTGCTTCAGCATAATCTGAATTTAAACAGCTTGTTTCCTGCGGATATAATTTTGGAAATAAATAAAACAAGTCTTCTATCAAAATCTGGAGTGAGTGAAAAGGAACATCACATTTTTCTGTCTCAGTCAGTTTGAAGCAGATTATTAGTCTCAAGTAAAAAACAATAGCAACAAACAACAACAAAACAGAATATCTACACAGGACAACTGACTGAGTTTATTTCCAAGCATAAAAAGAACTACTCCTATCTAGGTCAGGTACTGAGATAGATATATTCAAATAATTCAGTTTAAATGTAGGGACTTGTAGGGATGTTTGTAAATGTAAATTACAGAAAAGCCTAAAACCAAAAATTTTAGTAGTAATTCAATAAAATCAATAAAAATAATATAAAAAAGAACAGAGTTTTTCAGTTTTCCAGTTAGTTTTCTTTCCTAATTAAAAAACATCACGAAGGTTGACAATTAGGTACAATGTAATTATGGATTTTAAAGACTAAGTTGACAGTCAATAATGACTATCCATTTAAAGCTACAATAAATATAGAGCTCATCCTGTTACAAACACAAATCTCATAAACTACTGAGCTATAATTAGAAGAGGCTTTCAAAAAATATAAATAACATTCCAATGCTACCAATTATTACCTATATTAAATTATACTGATAAAATACCCCCTCCCCATTTTTATTTCTAAATCTTTTCTTAGGACTCTTTCTTCACTTTGGAGATTCAGCAGATTACTGTCAATTTAGGGTATATTCTAACAAGGTACCCTTTTGTAAAGCTATTGTAAGACTAAGGTATCTGGCAAAGGAGTTATATTAATACTAAAGGGATCTGAAGATAACATTTTTGCTTTTAAGAGAATAACTGATATTAAAACTCTAAAATTCACATAAGCAATATTCAATAAAAAGGTTTTGAACTGTAATTAAGATCTCAATCCAAACCAAAATCACTCCGATCAGAATCTGAACTTCATAGGAACAAAATGATTTGCCATCACCATGTTATAGTGTTCTTATGTGGAGAGAGCTGAACAGCCAGACCACTCTGGAGCACAATCAGAATCAACAATAATTGCTGTTATATCAAGTTTGATAGAAAAACCACTGCAATCATATCAATGTTGCAGATGAAACTGTTAAGGGCTCAAGGTGTAGAATAGGAAATAGGGAAAAACTTGCAGACCTACCAGAATAATGATCTCTTTTCAAAGGTCATGCAATAAATGAACCCAAAAGAAACAGTATGGAATTATGAGACAGATATAGTGCATATATAAAGGAGAAGAAGAGAGCTATCCCTGAGCTTTTTTTGTTCAAGGCTAGCACTCTAATAGAAGCCACAGCTCAAGTGTTAGGGTTTTTTGGTGGATAAATAGAAATAAAAATTCCAAAGACTTTCTAGACAAGGCTGGCTTTAAATCATAATCCTCAGATCTCAGACTTCTGAGTAGCTAGGATTTCAACTATGAGCCACTGATGCCTGGCTTCAGCTATGTATTTTTATTTGCTATGGATCAATGGATTATTTGGCTCAAATTGGAAACAATGAACTGGAAGAAAATACGGGCCAGGGGCTGGGAAGTTGGCTCAGTGGTAGAGCGCTTGCCTTGCATGCCTGAGGCCCTGGGTTCGATTCCTCAGCACCACATAAGCAAAAAGAAAAAAGCCGGAAGTGGTGCTGTGGCTCAAGTGGTAGAGTGCTAGCCTTGAGCTGAAGAGCTGAGGGACAGCGCCCAGGCCCAGAGTTCAGGCCCTACGACCGGACCCAAAAACAAAACAAAAAAAAAAAAAGAAAAATACGGGCCAATAAAAGGAACCTGGAAGTTAGCTGTGTTCCAAATGGGAATTATAGGACTAATTCCAGGACTATTGAGTATTTACAGGATAAAGGAAGGAAATTAACATCAGACTAATGTTAAAATACACCAGAATAGGAAGAGAAGACCATTGTTTGGGAACAAGTGAAACACTGATGAGCAGCAATGAGAAAACTTATTTCCTCACCCAAGAGCATGGAAGGAATTACACTGCTGTGCCAGATGCCAAAGATTTCTAACTATGTACCACCATAGTACAGAGTGGGAGAAGAAAAACAAACCCACTCCACATCAGATACACCAACAAAATTATGTAACTTAGATACTAGCTTATAAAAAACAGGAAAAACAAAAGGAACAGATGCTCATTTGGCCAGCTCTCAATGACATTCATTAAAATTGTCACCCTGTCCCTGGATTAGCATTCATGTTAAGATTTTACCTTGTTGAGCCAGAAGTCACTGGTTGGTGCACAAAGTGAGAACATCAAGGCCCGAAAAGGGAAAAACAATAGTATTTACTTATTTATTTATTTGCCAGTCATGGAGCTTGAACTCAGGGCCTGGACACTGTCCCTGAGTTTCTTTCGCTCAAGGCTAGCACTCTACTCCACTACTTGAGCCACAGTGCCCCTTCTGGCTTTTTCTGTTTAATGTGATACTGAGGAATTAAACCCAGGACTTCATGCATGCTAGACAAGCACTCTGCCACTAAGGCACATTCCCAGCCTGAACCAATGGTTTTTAAAAGTTCCAAATAGTTACACCCCTCTCTCCACACAAATGCTAAATATAAAATAAGGTCAATTAGCAAATGCTAATCTTGACTGAAAAAAGAAACGTGTAACTTACATTAATACATTTTGTAGCAATTTAAGATTCAACTGGTGAATTTTATCTTTTGTAACTGTACTTGTAAATAAATTCTGGTATTTCTTATATAAATCATTACAATGATTATTTAGTGTATGACAATATTCCCAGTTAATGAATAAGCAAAGACTATAGCATATTGTAAGAAACAAGATACAAATAATAAAATTACTATGGTTGGGCTGGGAAGGTGGCTCAGTGGTAGAGTGCTTGCCTTGCATGCATGAGGCCCTGGGTTCGATTCCTCAGCACCACATAAGCAGAAAAGGTTGGAAGTGGCACTGTGGCTCAAGTGGTAGAGTGCTAGCCTTGAGCTGAAGAGCTGAGGGACAGTGCCCAGACCCAGGGTTCAGGCCCCACGACCAGCAAAAAAAAAAAAATTATTATGGTTCATATGGTCGGAATGTTTGTACTTTCCCCCCAAAGCATCTACAAGTTCAAAGAATTCAGAAATAAAACTGGTATTCTTTTTTTTTTTTTTTTTTTTTGGTCCAGTCATAGGGCTTGAACTCTGGGCCTGGACGCTGTCCCTCAGCTCTTTCAGCCCAAGGCTAGCACTCTACCACTTGAGCCACAGTGCCACTTCCGGTTTTTTTCTTTTTTGCTTATGTGATGCTGAGGAATCGAACCCAGGGCCTCATGCATGCAAGGCAAGCGCTCTACCACTGAGCCACCTTCCCAGCCCAAAACTGGTATTCTTAAAGCAAAGAAACAAACAAATTAACTGACTAGCTAGCAACCAACAAAATAAAATGAAATGAAATCTCAGAGAGCATGGTTGGTCCCTCCCATCATGAGAGACTATAGAAGAAAGGTGCTATTTATGAAGCACAGTGAGCCCTCAACTAGGCAGCAAATGTCCTGGACTTTGATCTTGGACTTGCCAGCATTTAAAACTATAAGAAATAAATCACTGTTTATAAACCATCTAAATTTATGGTATTTTTGCTACAACAGCCCAAAAGGACTAACACAGTTGCCCTTAGATTTTGTAGTAAAAGGTGGAAACAATATGACACCAGTTTTGGCTCAAACACTAAGAGTAAGTATGTGGCTGTGTGTATGAGCCAACAGAATAAATTAAAATGTTAGAAAAGTTGTAATGGTGAAAAATTTTTAAATGGTAATAAAGTCATTATTTTTTCAGATTAGTGAAAAGTCTAGAAGCATACCCCATATTAAACATTACTCTTGAGATAACAAAAACAGCTGACACTTAAATTTCAACGTTCCAGATTTGATTAATAGATGAAAGCAAAAGCTCCTGATCTCTAATACTGAACATTATTTTTACATTTACGATAGAGATATAACATGTTTATACATGAACAGGCAGCACATACGCAGCACCAAACACACTTATCCACTCAGATCAAGAACACTAAAGGCATTATTTCTTAACATTAGCCACTCAATAAACTAGTGACCTAACAATTTTTCTGTAGTGTATTTCACATTTCTTGCAATGATATCCTCTATACTTATATTTGAAATTACTTATATTTTAAAAACATGAAAAAACTTATAAAAGCAGTTGTACATTCTTATATAGATCTTACCGGTGATAATCTATAACTAGTGTCAAACAATAAAAATGAATCTGTTTAAAGTAGGACAAGAGTACACAAACGATTCTGTTGGGAATGAAATGATAGAAAGTACAACTTGTGCTCTGTATAAAATGATGTCTTTACTCAGGAGGCTGAGATTTGAGGATCGCAGTTCAAAGCCAGGCCAGACAAGAAAGTTCGTGGAAATCTTACCTCTAATAAAACACTAGAAAACTGGAATTGGCGCTATGGTTCAAGTGGTAGAGTGCTAGCCTTGAGCTGAAGAGCTCAGGGATAGTGCCCAGGCCCAGAGTTCAAGCCCCAAGACCAAAAAAAAAGTCTTTTTATTCTTTTCTTAAATATATAATCTTACATAGTAGTCTTTAATAGCAATAGGGAGTAAAGCAGTATAGACACAGAAATATTTTGATGTATGCATTTTTGAATAATATTACTTACTTTGGCCACACAATTTTCAGTCTTCATAGCAGTGCTTGCTAGGCATACTGTTTCCTGGTTTATGCAGAGTCTGGCACAGCTGTTGTAAGTCTGTAAGGATAATTTTTTTTATTCAGATTTTTTTTCTGGATATTGAAGTATTGGTATATTCAATGGTCAAATTCTGCTCTAGTTTTCAAAAGCAATACACAATATATCCTATTTATAAATTCCAGATTGATAGGAGTTGAAGGACAAGGCAAAAGGAGGGTTGTCAAGACATTTAGAAAACCTAATGGTTTCCTCATGGTTCCCATGAGGAAGTATGTGGACTTCCTATTTCATTGTATGTATGGAAAGTGGTTATGAAGAATCTTTAAAATCCAAGTATTAGGAACTTAGGTTTATTTAAAATAGCGATTACTGTTCTGAGATGTTTATTTTTGTTCCTTTTCCTTTAAAACAAAACAAAACAAAAAACATCAAGCCAGGCTCTAATGGCTCATACCTGTAATCCTAGCTACTCAGGAGGCTGAGGTCTGAGAATCCAGGTTCAAAGCCAGCCCAGAAACAAAAGTCCGTGAGACTTTCATCTCAATTAACCACCAGACAACTGGAAGTGGCGCTGTGGCTCAAGTGGTAGAGGGCTAGCCTTGAGCTGAAGAGATGAGGGACAGTGTCCAGGCCCAGAGTTCAAACCCCACAAATGACAAACAAAACAAAACCAAAAACATTGAGACCTGAAAGGATGGTTTGATCTTCAGCACTGAAGGAAAAAAAAGAAGACCAAAAAGAAAAAAAAAAAAGGAAGAGAGTATTCATTTAGAACAGATTTAAAATGTTCAAGACAAAAGGGTGTGATTGTACATGCCTATTGTCTTAGCTACTCAGGAAGCAGATACCTGAGATCAATTCAAGACCAACCTAGTCAAAGACTTAGTCAGTGAGATCGCCATCTCAACAAATAAACTATACGTGGTGGTATGTACCTATAATCCAAGTTATGTTGGGAGTGTAGGTAAAAGAATCAAGGTCTAAGACAATCCTAAGTAAAAATACAATACGTTCCTAGAAGGAAAAAAAAAAAGAAGCAAAAAATTCTAAACCAATCACAAAATATTTTAAAGAATCTCAATACAAATATATTAAGCTTTGAATTTTTTTGTGTATATGTGACAGGTCTAGGGATTGAACTCAGGGCCTCAAGCGCTTCCTCAGCTCTCTTATTCACAACCAGTAGTCTACCACTTGAGACTGATCAGACTGGCTTTGAATCAAGACCCTCCTAGGTCTCACACTTACAAGCAGCTAGGATATTACAGATGTAATTCACCAGTGCCCAGTTTAATCTTTGAATTTTTTTTTTGCACAAAAGATATATAAAAAAATCAAGAGCTGTGCTGGCAGAGGTGACTCTTGCCTATAATCCTAGCTACTCAGAAGACTGAGATCTGAGGATCAAGGTTTGAGGCTAATCCAGGCAAGAAACGTCTGTGAGACTCTTTATCTTCAATAAACTACCCATAAAAATCGAGAAATGGGGCTGTGGCTCAAATGGTAGAGTGCTAGACGAGTAAAAGAAGCTCAGGTCCCAAGACTGGAAGAGGAGAGAGAGAAGAAGAGACTAGGGGAGGGGAGGGGAGGAGAGAGGAGGAGAGGAGAGGACCTAAGAAATTAACTTGGCACTAATATAAAATACAGACCTTCTTCAAGGTTTACCAGTTCTAACACTTAAACCAATTTTTGTTCAAAATCTAATTCAGGATACCACACTGCATTTGTCACATCTCCTTATTTTCCTTATACCTAGGACAACAATTTGTCTTTCCTTACTGACACTGGGAAAGTACTAATAAATGTAGTGTAGATTAACAATCTACAGTCTATTACAGCGGTAATGTACCTCAAGATATTGTGGTAAGTATTTCTGGTGATATTAACCTGATGACCTGGCTAGGGTTATGTCTGCCAAAATTCTTTTAAGTTATTATTTTTCTGTTACTATATATATATATATATATATATATATATATATATATATCAAAGAAAATACTTTGGGATTATAAAAATACTCTATTTCTATTTCACCCTTTGCCTGCTTGTTCCAGTGTACCATTAATTGGTCTTGCCTACTGTAATCCTTATACTGTTGTACTCTAACAATATACTTTTTTGTAAACTTTTTGTTTATGTGGTGCTGAGGAATCAAATCCAGGGCCTCATGAATGCAAAGCAAGTACTCTACCACTAAGCACCTTCCCAGCCCCTTTTTAGACTTCTTTTCCCTTCTATATTAGGCTCCCTCTATAAGAAAGAGTTGTGCCAGGTGCTGGTGGTTCACACCTGTAATCCTGGTTACTCAGGGAAGATAGTGGTTTGAAGCCAGCCCGGGCAGGAAAGTCCATGAGACTCTTATCCCCAATAAACTACTCAGAAAAAGCCAGAAGTGGTACCAAGTGGTGCTCAAGTGGTAGAGGGCTAGCCTTGAGCAAAAGAAGCTCAGGGACAGTGCCCAGGCCTAGAGTTCAAGCCTAGACTGGCAAAAAAAATAAAGAAATAAAGGAAGCAAGGAAGGAGGGGAGGAAAGAAGGGAGGAAGATAGGAAGGAAGAAAAGAAGGAAGGGAGGGAGGGAGGAAGGGAGGGAGACATCTTTCACACTTATTTATTTATTCATTTGTTTACTTGTATCAATATGGACAAAAAGTTTAAAGAATTTGGTTTTATGGCCAACTTTTATTCTTTGGAAAAATAGATATACAAAAGCAAAAATAGTTTTTCATTTATTCTCGGAATAAGACTGATGCCAGAGAATTGCTTTGAGCTTGTAAGTTCAAGGCAGGCCAACTCCAAGACAAATTAAACCAAACTAGGCTAGGCACCAGTGGCTTATACCTGTAATCCTAGCTACTCTGGAGTCTGAGATCTGAATATCATGACTGGAAAACACACACACCACACACACACACCACACAACACAAACACACACACACACACACACACACACACACACACACACACACACGACCCCAGAGACAGTTCCCAGGGGCCGTGAATTTATACCCCCGAACCAAAATATAACAATTTAAAAAAATTAAACAAAACTAAATTAAGACTGGGAATGAATGTGGCTTAATGGTAAGAGTCCTTGCCTAGCATGCATGAAGCTCTGGGTTAGATTCCTTAGTACCATATAAACAGAAAGAGCCAGAAGTGGTGCTGTGGCTCAAGTGACAGAGTGCTAGCCTTGAGCAAAAGAAGCTCAGGGACAGTTACTAAGCCCTGAGTTTAAACCCTAGGACTGGCCATAAATAAATAAATAAACAAACCCAAATTAAATAAAAAATATATAAGGCAGGTGCCCTTGGTTCACGCGTGTAATTCTAGCTACTTAGGAGGCTGAGATCTGAGGATCGCAGCTTGAGTCTGCCTGGACAGGAAAATTGTGAGACTCTTCTCTCCAATTAATCACAGAAAAAGCTGTAAGTGTTGCTGTGGCTCAAGTGGTAGGTAGCACCCTAGCCAGGGACAGCATGCCCAGGCCCATAGTTCAAGCCCCAGGTCTGGCAAAAAAAAAAAATATGAGAAAGGAAAAAAGGGTAAATTTTAGTGGAGTGACATAGCCTCCAATGGGTGCTGTAAACTTAGTTTTCCTTTTAAGTTTTTTTTTTTTTTTAAATGATGGCCTTATGCTTGTTAGACATGTGCTCTAATGCATCCCTTAGGTTCCACCTTCCCCTCCATTTTTTTTGTTCCTGGTCTTAGGGCTTAAAAAATCAGGACCTAGGCACTATCCCTGAACTTCTTTTGCTCAAGGCTAGTGCTCTCAACACTTGAGCCACAGCTCTACTTTCAGAGAAAAAAGACCTCAATAGCATGGACTTTCTGCCCAAGCTGGCTTCAAACAGGGGTCCTCAGATCTCAGTCTCCTGAGTAGCTAGGATTACAGGCATGAGCTCCAACTGTCCAGCTTTATTTTTCTTTTAATTTTTTGTGCAGGTTCTAGGGCTTGAACTCATGTCCTAGGCACTTGTCCTTGAGCTTCTTTTGCTCAAGATTAGCACTCTACCACTTGACCACAGCTCTGCTTCCAGCTTTTTGGTAGTTTATTGCAGATGAACATCTCATGGACTTTCCTGCTTGGGTCTGTAATAACAATCCTCAGATCTCAGCCTCCTGAGTAGCTACGATTCTAGGTATGAGCCACCTACGCCCAGCAAGTTTTCCTTTCAAATAATTTAGATCTCAAAAGATTTATCCACTAACTTAAAAAAAAATGTTTATTTTTAGTGCCAGTCCTGAGGCTTCAACACTAGGCCTGGATGCTGGTCCCTAGTTCTTTTGTTCAAGGATAGTGCTCTACCACTTGAGCCACAGTTCAACAGCTGGTTTTTTTTTGTTTTTGGGTCCGGTCATGGGGCCTGAACTCTGGGCCTGGGCGCTTTCCCTCAGCTCTTTTAGCTCAAGGCTAGCGCTCTACCACTTGAGCCACAGCGCCACTTCCAGCTTTTTTCTTTTTGCTTATGTGGTGCTGGGGAATCGAACCCAGGGCCTCATGCATGCAAGGCAAGCACTCTACCACTGAGCCACCTCCCCAGCCCCAACAGCTGTTCTTTGTTGTTGTTGTTGTTTATAGTTAATTGGAGATAGGATCTAATAAGCTTTGGTGCCTGGGCTGGCTTTGAACCCAATCCTCAGATCTCAGCCTCCTGAATAGCTATGATTACAGGCATGAGCCATTGGCAACTGGCTCCACTTAAACTTTTTATCCTCTTATCATTCAAGTTCAAATTATTTCAACATACATGAAAAACAGAGCATGTGAAATTAAAGTAGAACATAGGGACTACTGGTACAGATAAACTCTGGGCTCAAAGTTCAGTATTTTTTTTTGTAACATAAACATTTACTGTATATAGGTACAAAACATAAATGTTTTTTAATAAAACACTGTTTTTAAAAATGCACTTATGGGGGCTGAGAAATTGGCTCAGTGTTAGAGCGCTTGCTTTGCATGCCTATGCCCTGGGTTCGATTCCTCAGCACCACATAAGCAAAAAAGAAAAAACCCAGAAATGGCGCTGTGAATCAAGTGGTAGAGTGCTAGCCTTGA